GGCTGAAGTGTTGCGAAATATTTTTCGCCATTCAAAGTAAATCTAAATTTTAAATTTATTGCATCCAGAGCAATGTTCGTTCACTTTATGCCTACCAGATTTGTTGCTACCTTGAAAGACCTCCTCTAAAGCATCTGGTTCCAGATATTGTCAAAAAAAACAATTCCACTTAGGCGTTAATGTGAACTGGATGTTATCCTGCTAGTATGAATGACCGTACTGTTACTCTAGAATTTTAAATCTTTAGTTATCGTGGCTTTCTTAACAGCAAAAAGAAATATTGCACATATAATTCGTTGTAAATACCGTTGTCACCAGTGTACTATTATGCAGTTTGTTTTGTTGTATTTTTAATTACTGGATATTGATTACTCATGAAATGTTTGGCAGCCGTTGGCATTTGATTGTCTTATGACCATGTCATTTAGTTCACAAGATCGTGTATTGGAAAGAGCCTTACAAGTCAGCTGCCGTGCTGGCGTGCATCATAGCGCTCCTCTTGGCTTTTGTGATTTTTTCAGCCGTTTCCGTTGTGTCCTACGTCGGCCTGACCCTGTTGGCGATCACCTTTAGTTTCCGAACGTTTAGTAGCGTCGCGGCTACGGTGCAGAAAACCGAACAAACGAACCCGTTCAAGTATATGCTTTGTTTCTTGTCATTCATGAGAAATTTATGAGTTCTATTCTATAAAGTATTGCGATATGATACGGAAATCAACCAGTTCGTATTAGAAACTTTTTTCTAAAAGTGGGTGAGTGGTGGGAAATAAAAACAACACTCTAATTCATCATAAACTTGAAATTTCTGTTGATATGATACTCTAAAACGCGGCTAAAAATTGAGGCTTAAATTCCGTTCTTCTAAAGCGTATGCAAATACAGAGATTCCATTGTCCTACTTACACTCTTTTCTCTCTGACTATATGTTCATCGTCCTGTCAGTAAGGTCATTGCAATGGCATTGTATACAAGACTACCTTTTACGTGTCACCTATATAGTTGGTATTCGTTGTTCTGTAGATACCATTGTAATTTGTTTTCAGCATTATATTTTAATTACTGTTTTGTGTTAAAAATATTACCCAGTTTCTTATGCGAGTATGTAGTTCTTCATCATGATAGGTTTTAAATGCTTTACGTTACACAGATGTACAACTCATACGCGACTGATGATTCGGTTAGTAGTAGATCGATCTATGCTCAAGGACTATATAGCATAAACAGTTGCTTTTAATGCATGACCGTGTTTACAGTTTTATCATGCATTTCGTTGTGTGCTAGTATTTATATTATAAAGCCAAATTTAGGGAATATTTGGAGAAAGGCGTATCACTCGATCGAAGCAAAGCTCGCGAGATCGTTGAAGATATTGTAAAGTACGCCGAAAAGTTCATGAACGAGTTGAGACGTCTTTTCTTCATCGAAAACGTTGCCGACAGTCTCAAATTTGGTATTTTCTTGTGGATCTTGACCTTCATCGGAACTTGGTTTTCTGGGGCATTGCTAATACTGTCAGGTGAGTAATTATACATTTTTAATGATAGATTCAGGTTTTACAATTTTTCTAATGTTGAATCGTTTCAAATTCAAACTTATTTCTTGTTTCCGCAGAGATCATAGATCTTAATGCGCAACTCCTTTTAGCAATGGCCAAAAATATCGCAGTGCACCTCTGCCTTCACCTCGTCTGATATGCTGTGTGGGTTTTTTTGCCAAGACGCTGTTAAATCCATCCATATCTCTGATGGATTTATGTTGCTTTGGCTATATGGGCATGGAATTAGTCACTTCCATCGATGTAGTCTCATCCTCTTCGTTATCAGAGCTTCACAAGCAAGCAAAGAGGTGACAGTGAGCGAGGAATGATGCAGTAATGCCACGCTCATCCTACTTCTGTGACGTCCGCAAGAACGCGGATTTGTAATCTGATTGATCCCACATTTCGGCCGCCTAACCAACAGCAGTTGCACTGCAGCCCTGCTTTCAAACGGTACACGGTTGAAGCATGCAAATAGTTTCAGGTGCTCCGTAGGTTGGGTTTACTCTGTATTAAACAGAGATTACTGACTGTGGATAAAGATTATAAATGTGTCTCTTTGAAATGAAAACAGAAGAACTAGAATCATGAGTATATATATAAGTGTATAAAATTGTAGTGAACAACTTTTGAGACACATATCTGCATGAGCGTAGAAGATTTCTAAGTTCGTAACAGTTTGCATCGTTTTTGCTGTAACCATCATTTGAGGTTATCAGAATTTAAACAGTAGAGCAACCCAGATTTATGATTCTGATCGTTAGAAATGATGCTTCAGACTGATAGGTCGTAAGAAACATTCACTGCTGCGGTAACGTCATGCCCTTCGTCGCAAGCAGGTCCGCATCAGCGAGATGTATCAAAATTTGGTACTGTTTTTCAGCCCATCTGCAGCCATTGCACCATTTTCACCGAAGGTCGATTTCAAAGATATTTCCATTTTTTGGCCACTTTGATAAAACCGGCGATCGCCCGCGCCCGCTCGTTTGTGACCCAATGATGCCATTGCACCTTGAGCATATTTCGGTAGACAAAATTGTTAGAAGCTGTCGAGTCGAGTTTCATATCGTTTAAGAACTGTAGATGTTTCGAGAAGTGCATCGGCACCGTGAGCATGGCTGCTTTTGGGGTGATGTTCTCTTTTTTTAGTTCTTGTGGCTCCATATTTCCATATTTCGTACAGCTTTCCAAAAATTGCGTGTCGATTTACTTAAGGATCAGTGCCACTATCACTAACCAAGACTGTTCTAAGGTTCCAGATCCCCGTACACTTTCTGCATGACTCACCGTAATTATTCTCACGTTTAAAGTGATTGCAACAAATTTCGCCGGGCACAACTTTTTCTTAAAATCGAAACGAAAGTAAGCGCCGCATTATAAGCTCGATTTCCTCCGAACTGAACACAATCCGTTACGCTCCTTGCTGGCTACATTGTTTGTGCTTTACTTCGCTGGTGTATTTTCTTTTGAAACGCGCGATTAAACTGTATGGTCTTAAGATTTGTTACCCTTGACATGGAGTCTTCATGAATTCATCGTACTATGCCACTCTTTGCGCATCTTCGACTTTCTGCGTCTTTTTCTGTTGCATGGGATTCCAGTGAAACGAATTCCTTCTGTATGAAAGTTGCTAATTAATGAAGAAAATATACATCGCTCTTGTATCTTCAGTACTTAAGCTGTGAAAATTTTTACAGTATAATTTGTTTACTTAGTTGGCGTTCAGAACTATTGCGATGCAGGTTCGGAACTGTGTTATTTGTCGAATTCCCCCGTTTTCTAAGGCTAGTCACCTCAAAGTATACTTTGAGCTGCTTTACCTTTTGATTTCGGTTGAAATAGAAACTTGTCACCGAAATAGCGTTGTTCTTTTCAGTTGTCGTCTACGTCTTCACCGTCCCCTATTTTTGCGACAGATACAAAGAGCAGATCAACCACTTCGCGGACCTGGCAATGAAGAAGTACGAAGAACTGGTAAAGCGTGTGGACACGAAGTTGCCCTGGCTGAAGCTGAAGACGTTGCTGAAGCAGAATGAAACGCACGCTGATTAAATAAGGAGGATCAGGCTTCATTTTTTGATGCGCGTTTTTTCTGAACCAATGGATGTGTCGTCTTGTAAAAAGTTCTGTTCAGTAACAGACCGATTTGCGCTTTTTTGTAGAATATTTTTCTTCTAAATATCGTCTGTGATGTTTCGTTTCCATATTCATACTTATGCCGCTGATGATCTTCAGTTTTAATTCTTTATTGTGCATAGACAGATAGGTCGATGCGTCATCGACCTACTGACTTTTGATAGAATAAATCGCTTTGTTGTTTCGTTACTTCGTTGGTTTTTTTTGCATTTACAACTGAAGTGTGCGCTATCCTTTTAATTACAGTGTCTGACTGCATTTCAATTAATTTCTGACATTTCATGCAGCGAAAGCTTCACCGACGGGCAGCAGTTCTTCAGTTAGCACTGAATTATAACAGTCAGGAAAGAAATATGCCCAAGAGGACTTTTCATTTCTTGGTAATTTTGACGGATTTTTCTCAGCAATCAGGTGAATCAAGGCGAATTGCAGTGTTAAGGCAAAAGCAGTAGAATGCATGGGACCAACTCACGCTGGCTCTACATCATACCAGAATCCTATGCAATCAGCAGTGTTTATTAGTGCATAAAGCAACCTTCGATAGGTTGCGATAGACACGGTAGGGCAGTTTTTTGCTATGCAAAATTGACAGTCAGTAGGGAGCTATTACGCAGCTCCGAGGTTTGAGTTTAAGGCACTGCTGTTTCAGTTCATGCGCCTTTCTTACACAGTACTCGTGCAACTTGTCTTTAATACAAAACGTTCAACACCTACAAAGAGCACTCATAATCCCGAAAGAAAAATATAGCATCATCATCCCAGAAATGCAATGACATTTACTCACGGCTGGTCAAAACAAAAAATGAAGGGGCCACCTTGAGATGCAATACTGTCGCGGATTGCAATTCCGGATAAAACGGCGGTTATGCATGACCTGAATTTGAATTTAACTGTTTAAATAAATATGGGACACTGGGAAGACCTCAAAAGACTAGCATTCGTAAACTGTAATCGAAAAATCGGTGCACAAATCTCATCGGAAAAGTCATTCATGAAACGCCTATTAAGTCGAAAAAAGCGACGCTGATTTAAGAAAATAGTTTAATACGGTACCTAAAATTCAATGACATTGCGATTCTCTCAAGGTCGGTAGAGGAACTCCAGAAAAGAATAATGAACAATATAAGACCGGAAGGACGCCAATATCAAAGTATTATAGAAAGTCAATTTGATGATGAGACGCATCATGCTTCACAGAAATTAAAGGCATCCTCTTTTAATTGAGACTCGTGTTTGAGAAAAACAAAACTGCGATTGACTATGTCTGTTCACCTTTGCAACAGAAAAAAAAACCCTGTAAAGTCGAAATAGAACACGAACAGAATGGAGCGTTCCCTGCAGGAAGACTTCAAGTGATTGAAACAGAAAATATTAGATGTTTTTGTAAACCCGGTGATAATCTGTGTGCGCAGGATGTTATCTTTCCTCAGAAAGAATTTCATAAACTGCAGATCACACATTGCCGCGTCAGAAAAATGTGCTTGAAATAAGAATAACAGATACAAAGACCAAATAATGGGTAGAAACACATGCAGGAGTGTACAATGTCATTGCCGAAGTGATGAAGAAAAATTGACAATGAACAAAATACGTTGCAAATAGAAGCGAAAATTTCTGGTCTAGAGAGGCACTAGACTGAGTTGCATGATGGAACAAAGTGCCGTATGAAGAACTTCAGATCAATGGCAAGTTGAACTGTAAAAATAGCTAGATTGGGATGAAATTAAGATATATAGTGGAAAGCAAATAAATAAATTGCAGAAACCAGACGCTCATGATAAATTCTGGAGAAACCTTCATTTTCAGTGGATCGGAAAAGCTGATGATTATGACTTTAAAACAGCGATACTTAACAATTGTACGCTTCAAGAATTGACAAGATTGATATCGTGAGCATTATTATTGGACCTGCAAATCGTATTTTCGACAACATGTTGTACGAAAAATCTTAATTTTATGGATCTACTCTCATTATTAAATGTAGTTTGTGTATATTTTGCGTTTCTTGTCACATGAAGTTCGATGGAGCGTCTTGCTAGCTTGATGAAACTTTTACTTTTCACTTTTTTCTTAAATGCTCATAATTTACCGTTTTATACTGTTTTTAAACGTGATGGCTTGAATCATGTTTTTGTTTGAATGATTTGAGTAGATAATGTGCAGGTTTGCAAAGTACCTTAGAAGATGACCGAATTTTACGCAAATTTAATGTGCTTAAAATGTTTAAGTATGTTATGTTCTTAAAATTTTTACAGTTGCAAGTAGCTTAGCAGCTCGGGTCAGCTGTATATTGTTATCAGTCTTCCAATTACTATTTTTATTCAAAACGGTTAGTTCTTTGAAATTTCAGGCAGAGATTGACTGATAAGCAATTTCTGATTGCCATTTGGTAACGGTTCTGCACTGATAAGTATTCATACGTAATTAGAAATCTTCATAGTCTTCAACAGGTTTACTCCGCATGTGAATTTGATTACATGTGTTCCGACGTTTTGGATCCAGCCGGATCCGTCTTCAGGAAACATAATAAAAAGTACTAAATGACAAACAGCAAGTACAAAGTGTGCTGTGAAATTGTCATATTTTTAGGATTTTGTCGTCGAAGTTTAAATCGAAGGTTTTTTCTGCAATGGTGGTAATTATAATGAGGAAACCTACGTCTTTTCATGCAGTATTTTTACATCTTCAAAGCGCTTATTTGTTTATCTTGTTTGTTATATTTAACAAGATGAGAATTTCAAACTTTTCATTGGTGGGCATCACAACGTACCAATTTAAAGAATATTTTTTCTTTTGACATTTTTATCGGAATGGACCTTAAAATATGAATGTGCTCACGTGGCATCCATCTTTCACATATTTGTTGGTTGATTTTGTGCGATCATTTTACTGAAACTGAACTAATAAATCAGGGTAACGGTAAATCAAGTAACAATAGTATAGGTAACAGGATAACCAGCTCAATTTTTCATTAAAGGGTAGTATGTTGTATTCAAAAGTAATTTCGTAATTTTAAAAGAGCTTTGCTGCTTTGCCTCAAGTTTGGCCATTATTTCCGCTGTATTGAAAAACATCGTTTAGTCTAAAGTGGAATGACACAGTAGTTAGAGGTCAAGTTCGAATTTGGAAAAAGGTATTCTTTTGGCCGTTAATTACTTTAAATAGGGATTTCATTCCATATTGCTTCGCTTCAACCAAGCAGCAAACATGTGGCAAGTCGCTTATAGGAGCAACATTGTGTTCTAAAGAAAGGATCTGTTGACAAGGCTAAAAGCAGAACAAAAAATCCTTCAGAGCATTAATAAATATTGGATACTGTTCTTGAACGGCCATATTAGAATGGCTGACAAGTATGGGCATGCTATCCGATGCGGGATCGTAGGGGAGCGTTTTTCGTGTATCTACTTGTAGCTGAATGTTTAGTACGATAATCTGCAGAAGATACAGCTTCTTTGTTGCTTTTGCTGTAGTACTGTAAGAAACGTTTTGATTTATGGTCGCAAACAGTCGAATCATTCATTCATCTCATCGAATTCTTCTCGGCTCCTAAGTGTTAATGTTCTGACATGGTTGTACCACAACAGACGAAGTGTACGGCCATGTTGTCTGATGTGAGCGCATCTTAAGGTTGCAGCTGGCTCTGGCCCACATAATACCTG